CATTTTACGTACACTTTTTTTACATGGTAATGTTAGACTCCTAAAAAACCCAAATCAAAAGATAGGGGATTATGCGGCAAACCGAGTCAGTTGCATAAAAAAAAGGTATAACACAATTATATGATATTTATGCATAGAATGATCTTATACTTCACCTAACTAATTATATTATATTTAGATGCATGCTAAAGAGATTGAACAAGTCAATAGGGGTAAGAAGACTGCGGCTAGCAAAAAATCCACTTCTCAGTATAGGTCGTGCCTTTGGACATATGGGTGTTCAGATCCAATCCGATCCAAAAAAAAATCCAAAAACCGAACCGAAAAAACCGAAATCCAAAAAAAATCAATTTTTTTTGATGTATTTGGATCACCATGTAGCATAATCGACCAGTTCGGTTCAGTTTACGGTTGGCTTCATGAGAACCGAACCGGTCCAAACCGAACCGGTATTACTTCCATTTACTTGCCATTTATTATTTAAAATAAATTAATATCGAATCATTTATAGCCATCCTCCCAAATTAATTATGTTAGCCAACACTAATTTCTCTAGAGAATCTCAATCATTCCTATAATTTCCCTATTCAGATTCTAAATTATCTTAAAATTAAATACAATAAATGCTATTCATTATTGTAACCGCAAGAAATTCAATATCGCAAGCAAGAAATTCAATAATGCTAAATAGATATTATATATTATAGTCATGTCTATTTCGTTGGGATAAATATTATACATATATTATAATGAAACTTTGCAATAATGACATCAAATAACCATATGAACATAGCAATTAGATATTGTCTCAGTAGACGTTGGTGGCATAATTGTAACTGGTATTGAAATATATTCTTTTTAAATTTCTAAATAGTGTTGGTTTAAAAACCGAATAAAACCGATTCAACCGAACCGAAGTAAACTGTATAAATTGGATTGGATTGGATTGGATTTTTCTTGTTGTCATCCAAAAACCGAACCAAACCGTATGCTTTATATATTTTTGGATCGGATGATATTTTGTCTCAAAACCGATCCAAACTGGACCACGAACACCCCTATTTGGAAATATATAGGAATAACAAATATTCCAATTGGTGGTACCCGTCTTATACCTATGAAGGCAGACATTTTTGGTTATGAATACATGGAAGCAATTGGTAGAGAAGATATGGATCAAGTTTTTCAACATTTTACTTAGGCCTCAGTGTTATTGATACATACATCAGGTATACTCCGATCAACTTTGTTTAATTAAATGAACAATTTATTTACTCATTTCAATGAATATAGTCTAATTTTAATGATGTTTTTATTTAAGATTTCTGTATGACAAAGTGATGCGCCCGCGTGGATTGGAAGAAAGATTCACTTTCTTAGCTCTCAACACCGTCAACGTAGGATTAATCGTAATAAAACCATATGAAGTCATATCGTATGTACTCAGCTTATTTGTGGCTAGCAAAGATACATAAAAGTTGTTCTTTTTACCATATAATATTGGCAACGGGTTAAATTTTCATCCTAACTTCATCTATTATAATTTTTCATTTTTTGACGTTGTGTAGAAACTTTCCATCTAACATTTGTTTAATTTTACAGTGGACATTGATTATTGCTTGCGATTAATCCTGTAAGAGAAATTATATACTATCTGGATTCGTTATACAATGATTGGACAACATACCCAGATTTGAAGAAGATGATTGATACATAAGTGAGATTGTTCTAAATATTCGTGTGTATATTTATTTATCTATGTGAGATTGTTCTAAATAGTCGTTTATATTTTATTATAGTGTTCTACAAGATTTTCAATCACAAAGAGGTATTCAAGTACCAAAGAGTAGAGCCAACAACATTACGTGGATCAAAGTGCATGTATGTTTTCACAATTTTGATTATATTAGTGATGATACTTGATAAAATAAGTTAAGAGGTATATCCTAATATATATCTATATTTTCTTTCCATGTGTAGCATCCTCGTCAACGTAATGGTATAGATTACAGTTATTTTATCTTGAAGTTTATGAAAGAAACACTTCTTTTGGACCGAATATAGATTCCATCCACGGTATGAATTTCTAACTTAGGAATTATTTTAATATTTCTCATAAAATGGCATAGTGTTTTAACTAAATCACATACTATGTTATATTACTATGTAGCACTTTGACGAATTCAATTGTGCTCTTTACTCAAAAGATTAATTGGGTGAACTTATGAAGGAATGATGTCAATTCATTATGGAGTTGAGAATTTTATAAGGTATATTGTCTTTCTTTTATTGATGAGAATTTTGAGTATAACTTTCGAGTTTTGAGTATAAATTCGAATAAAGTTTTGTTTTATCATGGTATGAATTTTGATCTTTTGGTTTTGTTTCAGGTTATAGGTGCAGATGTAGAAGATAGAGCTAACAAGTTCATTGTTGTTGTTTTTAAGAAATTCTCAAAGATAGTAATATGTAGATTAAACATCAATTTAGAATTTTAGAATTTTCAAGTTGAATCATCAATTTTCAAGTTCTTGTTGTATATATCATCAATTATATATATGTAGATTTTTTTATATGCAAATTTAGTGCATATTTATTGGATTGAAGTTATCAAATTTGGTGCAAAATGTGGTGAAAACCTGGTGCAAAATCTGGTGAAAATTTATTGTAGATATTGGACAACGCTTTCTGTAAGTGAAAATAAGTCTAATATTTAAAAAAATTTGTGAACATTAGACAACGCTTAATGAGAAAAATGCTGTCTAAAGTGGGGAAAAAGCGTTGCCTAAAATGGGGAAAAGCGTTGCCTAAAATGGGAAAGCGCTGCCTAAAGTGGGGAACAGACAACACTTTTAAAGAAAAGCGTTGTCTAAAGCGATGCCTAAAAGATAACCAAAAGTGTTGTCTAAAGAGAAAGCATTGCTAAAGGGGTACTTAGCAAATCACTCTCTAAAGAGAAAGCGCTGCTAAAGGGGTGCATAAGAAAGCGCTTTTAATGTAAAAGCGCTGCCTAAAGGGGACATATAGCAGAGCTTTTACATTAATCCAAAGCGTTGCATTTACTTATACCAGCGCTGGTTTGGACAACGCTTTAAAGCGCTGTCTATGGTAAAAAAACGTTGTTTATGTGCTTGTTTGGCATAATGCTCCTTCATATTCAGACTCATCTTTTGATTCTTCTTTAGACTCAGAATCACCTTCGGATTCTGACTTGTCTTCAGCTTCAAAGTCATCTTCTAACTCTGAGTCATCTTCAGAAACCTCAGATTCTGACTCATCTTCATAATCTTCAACATTATCTTCTGATTTTGACTCATATTACAACACTCCAAAATCAAAATATTCAGAGTCATCTTCTCCCCATTCAGAATCAGAAAATGACAATCTCACAGGTTTCTCATCAGATTCATAAGCCATTAATAGCACAGGTTCATCATTAAAATCTCCTCTGGTTATTTTTGCTTCTTCTTTGTTTGACCAACAATCCTTAGCAAAGTGGCCAAACCTATTACAATAGTAACATTGAACCATTCTCTTGTCATACTTCTCATTTCCCTTCTGATGTTTATTTTAATCAGAATAGAAGACTTCTGACTTCTGAGACCTACCATGTCTTTTTTGCTTCTGGTCCTTCTTGACAAAAGAAGCCTTCAAAGCCTGCTCAACCTCCCTCTTAGATGTTCTTTCAGTCAGACACAACTCTTGCGCCTCTAGACTACTTTGTAGCTCTTCTATTCTCATGGTATCCAGATCTTTAGAATGTTCAATTGCTACAACAATTTAATCAAATTGAGGAGTAAGAGACCTCAATATCTTCTCAATGATTACTTGTTCAGAAAGGGTTTCTCCACAAGCCTTCATCTCATTAGTGATCACAATCACTCTAGAGATGTACTCAGAAACCTTCTCGTTGTCCTTCTTGTTGAGATTCTCATACTGCTTTTTGAGAGATTGAAGCTTCACCTTCTTCACTGATGCATCACCACTGTAACACCTACTCGTGTGTCCCATGCAGCCTTTGCCGTTGTCGAATCAGCGATTTCTCAAACACGTTCTCATCCATACACTGATGGATGAAGAACAATGCCTTCTGATATTTCTTCCTTGTATCTCTCTGCGTATTTCTCTATTCCTCTGTCACATCTACTGCAATTGGAACTTAGCAATTTATAACAAGCTCAAGAACACCCTGAGCACCAAACAACACACGCATCAGAATCATCTAACAATTTCAATTTTTGCTATTAAATACTGGAAGCTTGGTGCTTAGACTACCATTTCCGATCATCTTCAACATTATACAAAACACTCAGATCTCACAAACACAGTGTTTTCCAATCCCACAAAATTATAAAATGTAATTTTGTTCAGGTTTCATTCAAGATTCAACACGAATTCAAGAACCAAAATCAATCATACAACGCCTCACTGTTTCACTCGTGTTTCCCCGTGTTTCGAACCAGAGCTCTAGATATCAATTTATTAGTGCACAAGGTTAATAAATGAAGGAAAGTAAGAAAATATATTTCCTGCAATGACGGCTAGAAAGCTTACAAAGAAGAATGATTGAACAATGATTATTATTACTATTACTATTGACAACTACTACTAGTCTATTTATACACAAAGTAAATTGTCACGTAGACCCTAATAAAAATAAATTTAATGACCAAGTTAAAATGTACAAACTAGGAAGTATTAAACTTAACAGTTACGCTAACAAACTCACCTCCAGAACCCTAGAAGCTAAACATATTTCTGGACGTAACCTCAGAAACTTCTACTTTTGACTGATAACAATTTTTGACTAACCTCATAAGCTTTATTACTTTTGAACACCACTTCTAACCGACAAACATAAAAAACTTTTAATTCTAATATGAGTTCCTTTCCAAAATGATGAACTGCACTTTCAACACAATACTAAGCAATCTCCGATGATAAATAGTAATACGTTAAAATGAAATAAAAAACAAACAAACTACTACAACAAATCAACAATGGGAAGTGCCAATGTTGCATCAACACTTGTCTACATGGCAGAGAGGTGCACTTCTATGCGAGACCTCAAACTCATCCATGCCCACGCCTTCCGCACCTGCCTCCATCAACACACCGTCGTTCTCGGCAAGCTCTTCCGCTTCGCCGCCGTTTCTCCATTCGGCGACTTATCCTACGCCCACAACATGTTCGACCAAATGCCCCATCCATCCACCTTCTTTTACAACACCCTCATCCGTGCTCATTCCCACTCCACTACCCCTTCACTCTCCTCCCTATTCTTCAACAGCATGAGGGAAAACGACGTGGCGGCAGATGAATTTTCCTTCACCTTCTTGCTCAAGTCACGTTCTTTCACCACCCCTTTTGTCCACGACATACATAGTGCCGTTTTCAAATTTGGTTTTTGCCGCCACTTGCATGTTCAGAACGCGTTGATACACATGTATGCTGTTGGGGGAGTGATCCTTTTGGCTCGTAGGGTTTTTGAGGATGCAATTAAAGTGGGTTTGGATGTTGATAGTGTGTCCTGGTCCGGGTTGCTTGTTGCTCACTTAAGAGCTGGTGAATTGGATGTTGCACGAAAGGTATTTGATCAAATGCCTGAGAGAGATGTTGTTTCGTGGACCATCATGTTATCTGGTTATTCGCGGGCTAAGCGGCCGCGTGAGACTTTGGCATTGTTCCAAGAGATGAGGCTTGTGGGGGTGTGGCCAGATGAAGTTACGATGGTGAGTGTGATTTCGGCTTGTGCGGAGTTAGGTGACGTGGAAATGGGTAGGATGGTGCACCGGTTTGTCGAGGAGAATGGGTTTGGGTGGATGGTTACGCTTTGCAATGCTCTCATTGATATGTATGGAAAGTGTGGATGCTTGGAGGAGGCGTGGCATATGTTTGATAGGATGAAGAGGAAAAGCTTGATCACGTGGAATGCGATGATAATAGTGTGTGCGAACCACGGCTATGCTGATGATGCATCTAGTTTATTTGCATGGATGATTGGTTCTGGGGTTGTGCCTGATGGGGTGACAATTCTGTCACTTCTTGTAGCATATGCTCATAAGGGGTTGATTGATGAAGGAATTAGATTGTTTGCGAGCATGCAGAGGGAATATGGTGTGCAACCTAGAATCGAGCATTATGGTGCTGTGGTGGATATGTTAGGACGTTCAGGGAGATTAAAGGAGGCATATGCTCTGCTTACAAGCATGCCAATTCCAAGCAATGATGTTATTTGGGGAGCTTTACTTGGAGCCTGCAAGATTCACAGTGATGTTGCCATGGGAGAAAGGGTTATAAAGAAGTTGTTGGAGTTGAAACCAGATGAAGGGGGATACTATATTCTCCTTCGTGATATCTATGTTGCTGCAGGCCGCACTGTAGAAGCCAATGAGATGAGGCAAGCCATGCTGGCTAGTGGAGCAAGGAAAAATCCTGGCTGTAGTTGGGTGGAAGCATGAACTTTAGATGTGCAAAAGCAATAATATGAAAGGCAATTTGATGCCTCACTGCAGGCTTTGCACTTATGCTGTAGAGGTGTCCGCAGGGAATCTTCCACATCTCTGATTTTGCCACTGTATTGTTGATACGAGGATGAAAACGACGGAAAAGTTTGGTTAAATCACTGTTAGACCGCTTTAAAAGAACTTATATTGTTAGATTTTGTCTCGTTCTCGTTGTCATTACCAGCATTGGCAGTTAGAATGTCGATTAACGTGCCTTGTAAATCAACGGGGCTGATTGACGTGTCAGAAAATTTGTTCCATCTCGACCGTTGAATTTTCCTCTTCCCTCTAAGGTACTCTCCTTCATCTTGAATTGTATTTCTATGTTTTTCTGTGTCTAAACTTTTTTTTTTCAAGCTTAAAATCAGGACTTAGATCCACTAGAGTGGAAGATGCAAAATAATACAAAAAATAGAATTATTACAAAATATACACACATAACCAGTTACACTATTAATTTATTAATGTATATATATTGCCTTGTATTTTACAAGATGTTGGAAAATTGTTTCAAATATGAGAACGGGCTAACTTATTAGAAATATGTAATGACTTGTCTTCCAATAAAAGTTGGTCCGATTCTAATTGCTATTGATTGGTATATATTTATTTGATTAAAATATCATTGCAATATCTTTGTCTCAGTTGCATCTTTTCCCTTTCCATCTGCAATATTAGCTCGTACGTGTCATTAAACAACATGGGCTCTTGGCTTACCAGGCTCATTTTCTGCCTTAACCATTTAGCTTGAAGCTTTTGGATTTCTTTCCATCAACTGTAATGTGACCTGAATCCGGGTCGTAGAACCTTCGCAATAATGAGATCACAGTTGATTTTCCACTTCCACTTTCTGTCTGATTTCTATCATTACAAACAGATTGTTTGTTGCTTACATCTCAAAGAATAGTGCTTTTCACTTTAATAATTTAGTAAGATACCTTGCATGAATGAGTGGTCAAGCAAAGATCTCTGAATACTTGAACTTCAGGTCTGGTGGAGTACTTGAAACTGACATGGTGAAACCCTACCTCTCCTTTAATTTCTTTTAGTGTCAATCCAGAGGCCATCGCATGGATTTATTTTTGATTTTCGATCAATAATTAGCTAAAATAGACATTGCGGCACATTTTACCTTCACCGAATCAGGGGCCAACAGCTGCCATATTTAGGGCAAAGAAAACCTGAAAATCAGCAAACAAAAAAATCAGTGCTAACTACGTCATTTCTATGGCATATGGGATTATAAACTTATTGAAAGTACATGGGGTAAGTGACAAAGCATAACAAATCTGAGAGTGAAAAAGCTTGAAGCATGACTTACAAGGAAAATATCTGAGATTGATGTTTTGCCATCCCCTACTCGCCTCCTCATACAATTTCTGAAACAACAAGAATATGCTATCTATGATCCATGGTTCTAAAGTATTTCTCTATATGCTCGTACATAAACTATGGAATTGTAGATCACATGATAACTTCCATACATATCCAAACTCCAAAAATCAATGGAAGAAGTTAGAAACAAACCTTTCAATCTGCACCAAATCCTTATATGAACTTGATTTGAAGGTATCCATTTAGTCCTAACAGAGGTAGCAAAACAAGAATTATAAGAGCAAGGCTCCAGTCTGCGGGCTCATATAAGTTTTGATCATCTTGGAGATCATTAATCCAAACAATGGTAGTATTGCTCCATTTGCCACTGCAGCCATTGTTCCTTAAGTAAGACTGGGATCTCAGGATTGTTTAGATAAGCTAAGCGGAAATTGGCAAAACGGTACTTATTGAGGTGGTGGTTGTTCTACTTCACCACCAGATGTTTCCAAAGGAACTACTGTTGTAGAAAGTGCATGTGACCCTGAGAATGAGTGTCGACTGCTGTTTCCAATTCTCGATATTTGGCTTATGAATTGGAAGTGAATAAATCTTTGACTTGTAGAATCTTAAATACTTTCTGGTATGTCAGTCAGTCGCAACATCTTGTATTTCTGCCTCCTTTTTAGTCTCTTTTAAACTTATGAGCTTGCTATAGGCCCCATCAAGATCCTTCTTAGTCTCTTTTAAACTTATGAGCTTGCTATAGGCCCCATCAAGATACTTAGTGAGCTCCTCATGTGAACCTTGTTACATCCAGAATATCATTAGAATGTGGCCAAAAAACTAAATACAAACAATTTGTTTTTTTGCTTTATGCACTCTGGTTCATAGGGAAATATGGCCCTAGTAATCCAGAATTTGTGCCGAGAGGTCATACTAACCAATCATTGTTCCCACCAGAAATCGAATTCGGTTTCCTCGAATCCTCATTCTTTAGCAGTAGCTCATTTACCACTCGAGCTCAATTGACAAACAATTTGCTTTTAGAAAACTATAGTAGCACAATAGTAAGCTTACAAGTTCAGCCTAAGCAAAAAATATGAAATTCAATAAAATGAAAAGAATGAACCCAGGTGCAGGTTAGCTGCAGTGAGAAGGCGATAGTGGTGGCATTTCTTACAGTATTTAAGCCGTGGGCTAAAATAACAGTAGTTCTGTTTATCATGATTTTATCTAGTGCCTCATGTACTATTTTTCTTCTTCAGATTTTGCATCATAAAGCGCTTATAAATTTTGTTACAGAACACCTACTAAAGAAATCCTTACGTTGAAAGCGAGAGCTTCTTGATTAATTTTCATTTGGTCAAAGAAAAAGGGTTTGAAAAAAACACATCTTTTTAAAACATAGTAAATGTCTTAAATATAGTAAGAATATGAGAATTTCTTAATCCATTCTATAAGGTTGAAAAATATTCTATGCAATCTCGAAAATGCCCTTGCGGAATTGGAGATGTATTTCTGGGACACATTTTTTTTTGTGTTGCACATACCTCAAAATCGGAAATACAGTTATGGGATGAAACCGTAAATGTATTTCCGGTTCATATGCAGACACTAGCAAAAAAAGTTATGCAGGTAGTAGCTATTTTCGCATTATTTCGCATTTTGGAAACTACAAAATGAATACAAAGATATATATATATATATATATATATATATATATATATATATATATATATATATATATATATATATATATATATATATATATATATATATATATATATATATATATATAGTTGTTCTTGCGTAAAAATAATAATCGAGTAACTTTCCTATAGGTATAGGGAGAGCCGCAACGGGTAGATTTCTGTAGAGATTTAGGGGAATTTGTGTGCTACGATTATGACTCGTATTGACCCAAGAAAGGTGTCTTGCTTATCCTTCTTGCGGTAGCCCCTATATGAGTTTATGTATGTATGCCTTGTGTATGTCACAGAGGTCCCTTTTTCCATTCTTCAAGGACTCTTTATATAAGAAAGTTTTTGGTCTAATGACCATTAAGCCATTCCGTAACGTTCGTAACCGTCTATTTAATGAATTGTAACATTTGTATTTGTCCATCAATGACTTGTAACGTTTTCTGTATATCACCCTTATTGTGTTGAGCTTATACCCGATAGCTAATTCAGTGTCGATCCTGGGTTACACCCCGACATGCTCTCAGCTGCTTAGCCCATTTTGTCTTCATACCCGACTGGGCCTAACTGAATAGTCGGATCCGGTCTCTTAGGGATGATCTCCTATATTGACTGGTATATCATTATTTGTCCGAGTTCGTACCTCGACCAGAATAAAAATATTTTGGGATGTACATAAGCACCCGGGCACGAAGTCCTCAGAAGGAATGAAGTGTTCGGACAAAAGAAGCCCGATGCTTTTTATCCCGAGTCCTGGTGTGAACTCGGATCATTCAACACTTATCATAGTCAGCTCGTTCCACAAAATGTCTTAAATCGACTGGGTTTTTAAACCTTCGACATTTTGATGTTGGATCCGTTTTGGGGGAATTTCATGCTGACTCGTATTTGTGCGGATTTTGCGAATTTACTGAAGTCGGAAAAACCGTGACTTCGATGGAGAAATTAGAGAGTCCTAGTGGGATCTCAATCAGTTGAAGTCTTTGAACCTGGTAGATTCTACGCATAGATAAACTGGAGAGCCCTAGTGGGTGGGTTTTCGGTTAATTGACAACATTCGAATCATGGAAGACTTTCCACGTTTTATAAGTTGGTACTTATGAGTGGATTTTTCTTATGACCCCGAAGGACTTTTGGCATGGCTAAAGTCATAGGTCACTCTTCGTTGACTCATAATTGTTTTAGTCATCCTTCGAGAATGCATTATATAATGCTTGGATAATTTCTTTCTAGTGCACTGTGCTTATGCTTATTTGAGTTCTCCTAGTGATTCACTTATAGCCCCGTGCGTATATCTAACCGAGTTTAGTACCTTGTAGGTATGCCTTATGCCCATGTCGGAGATATATCCCACCCGATTTTAGTATAAGTAGGAGGTCTGATTTAACTGGAAATATGTTTTACTTTTATCTTGTTCACTGATTTAAGAGTTAAATGGCCACCCTCAGTTTAAGCTTTATCTTTGTCTAGACGCACTCATAGTGTTTTATGTTTCTTGGAAAATCTTGCTACTTTGTCAATTTTGACCGTAACAGTTGATTTAATAAGCCCCAAGCCATTGAGGTCGGGTTCATATGCCCTGGTGACCGAAATATTTGTTTCCCGTAATTGGTATTTTCAGTAGTTAGTGTGTTTTGGTACGAGATAGACTTTGGTCAATTGTTCCAAGACTTGACATTATCTAACCTGGATGCCCATATAAACCTGTAGAGGTGGAATGTTTAAGTAAGACTCATCTCGACCATCTTTGCTTTTTGGTTAGCCATCCCATAGGATACATTTTGCATTTTTGTAAGGGTGTGTTGGTTTTATCCCCTATTTAGGACAATGTCCTTCACTTCTTCTAACTTTATGCTTTATAATGATTTTATTTTTTGACTTCGTGTTTGCGTTTAGATCTTAGTATTCAGTATCACGGCTTAAAATAATCCGAGGTGC